ACTTGATGTATCGAATTTTTGGCTTTCCATGGTACATATGATTAATGTCATATTTTTTCAGCTTCTGTAATTTTGTCAGAATTTCATAGAAGATCTTGTGTCTTTGATTAGAACGTTTGTTTACTTTTGAAATTAGTTGATTTTTGTTTGAATCAATAGCGATCATTCGGAAAAGTTTCCTGAATCTGTTTGACATACCATTGATCTAGATTTCATACGTCGAATGAGAATAAGTTGCATTTTGAAGGCACGAGATCCTTGGGACTTTCTTTCTCCCTTCAAATTGATATCTTTAGAAAACCGTCGTACTCTTCTGTTTCAGGACCGGAAGTATTACGTTCGTGCGCAATAAAGGGATACCCTGTAAGAGAGCTATACGCGAAACGATAACGCCAGGATGATAAAAAAAAAAAAAAGAAAAGGGGCTCTGCATTGTTTAATCGAAACATTGACTGACGTCCGTTCTATCTGAATCGTTTAACGTGTAACAGCACATTCCAGCTGCTTTTCTCAATCAATCAGACGCACTGTCAAAAACAGAAGTACTCCATGTTGCTGCTCGTGCTCGATACACGGGAATTACGGCTTCGTGCTAGCGACCGACCTGTTTTTGGAATAGAAAAGGAAAAGGGAAGAAAGAAAATGAACAGAATGTTCGCAAGGCGAATTGGTCTATCCCGCTTCGTACGTGTATCTGAATCAAAAACCCGAATTCCAGCTAATCATATATTTTTTTGTTTTTCGTCTTTTACGTTCCATGTATTTCCCGATCTTCGAATGACAGGAGAGATTCATCGCAGCGGAGCTAACGGAAAGAAACAAAAATCGCCGATGTCATTCAATTCTTTCCTCGCATTATACAGGAAGAAACGACGAACGAGTTTTCTTCTCAGACATTATACGTCCATATTTGCATCTATATGCATCTAATCAGGCCGTACACGCGTATACATATCCCTTTCACGGATCACTATGTCATACTGAAGACAACGTGTAATCATTCCACGAGCTATGGTAGCTTCCTTCGATCGAGACGCTCGGATAGACTGAAGAAAAAAAAAAAAAAAAAGGCAGTCACATTTAAACATAGGGGGAACATTTGTATGTCGCTTAGCATTATTGAATGTATTCTTACAAATACACCCACGCATAAACAAACACGAGAACATACACATACACCACGTGCACGTTAGAATAATGTGAGTATATTCATCGTCATATTAAAGATTGTAACAAGATAAAAGGGAGAGAACCGCGCGTTTCCCTTTACGTTTCGTGTCTCAGAGTTTAATTGTGCAAATGATAATGTATAAATGGTAGCGGAAAGGTCCAATCTGCCAGGCGACATTTCTCTGTCTTATATTTATAATTGTACGCTGAAGTACTTATATGTTATTATTACATTTACGTACTCACAGATATTTAATTTATTCGCTATAAAGTTCGGTTCGTTGTTTGAACGACGACGTTAATGCAGGCATGATATGAATATTATACGTTGTATCATAAGGTTGCGTGATTGTTTAAATTATTTCGAAGCGGAGTAAGCGCGGGAAATTTTTTTATCGTTTTCCTTATTCTTTTTTTTTTTTTAAATTTTGTAGAGAACGCATGGAACGAGGATTTCTTTTTATAGCAAAATTTACAAGTTAACTTTGCGCTTTGAACATCGTTATCGCTAAAGCCAAGAATCATATAACCGGCTGTGAATTAAAAAAAAAAAAAAAAAAATCTGAGTCTGAGAAATTCCTTTAATCGTTACCGTAACCGAGCAGTTACGACGACGATAGAATAATAATCGTTTGAATTAGTCGAGTCCTTACGGTACGCTTGAGCTTTATTTAAAGACCTCACGTTTTCGTTTTCGAACGAAACACCGCGTTCCGTATCAATTTTACGCAACACGTGTCATTTTTGTTTATTGCGAAACCAGTTGCTACAATCGCTGATCGTTTGTACGTTTTCTGTTACATTCAGTCGCTATGGTAATCGTAGTCTATTCTATAGCCACTCGATGAACAGAGCAAGCATGGAAATCATCATTGCGAATATTTAATAATCAATGCATATTGTAATTGCAAATGCAGTGCAAAGCAATTATAGTTGCAACGGATGGAAAGCAACTATAATTAATTATATTTACATAGAGAATGTCACGGCAGAAAAAGTAGCGAATGTAATCTATCACGACGTATTTTCATCAGTGCATGATGACAACGAACGAAGTAATCCCGCGGAAAATTATTGATTAATTATTATTATATTATTATAATACTTGTTGCATCGTAAAGTAACGTATTAAATTGAAGAAAAAAAAGAACAACTTTCGCGCGGTGGCCGCTTGCTTGTTTAACACTCTTTCAAGTCTTGCTAAGCCCTATTCGCATATATACGAGCGTCGAATAACTAAGAAAAAGTTAAAAAAGAAAAAAAAAAATCTTTCGAAATAGAAGAAGAAGTTCAGCTTTTTCGCCCTTTATTAACGTGAGTTCTATTGGACTGGCCTAGTTCAAAAGATTTACGATTACACCTTGGATACCTTGGTGTACTGGAATCATTTACAGTCGTAGCGATGATATGATGGTTCGGTTCGTGCAATTTTCCAATCATTCTTTTCCTTTTTTTTTTACTCGAGGCTACGAAAATACGACCTTGGTGTTCAATCCTGCGTTCATCGACGATGATTCTTAATGATCGTTCTTTCCCTCTCTGTCATTAATTATTCATTCTCGTAGTATGTCGTTTCTTTCATTTGAGTTTTCATGTGTGCTCTCATTATCTCGGAAACAAAACATGCATTTATTGACATACGCTACCATATATAATGCGCCTGAGAGCTTGAAGGCCTATAGTTAGTCGTTTTTATTTAGCTTTGGATTTTATTTCTTTGTTTTTCACGATTGTCCCCAACACAAGCGTACGAGAAATAATTTTTTTTTTTTTTT